TTTCCAGTTGCTTAAATTGGAAAATTTACTGCGATGATCATTTCACTTTCATCTACTACCGCAGTTCAAATATGAATTATTTCATATATACTTCACAAAGATATTTAAGTGACTTAACTTGTGGTTAAGGCTTTGGTGACAGGCAAGCATTCCCATTGCGTTGTGTCTGATGCGTGCACTGATTCCTACATATGCCGATAGGTAATTGTAGTCCTTCTTTCTATTTGCAGCATTTCAGTTGATTAGCGTCCCAAAGGTTTAATGGAAAACTCTACAAATCAATCGCAAAGGGCGGCTAGCCAGGACGTTCTGATAGAACCAAGCTGGGCTCATGGTGGAGCCGTGGTGTATTCTGCCCTTGTCTTCCTTATTGTCACAGGTTTGTGCCTGATGTAACTCTTCGATTGTAAGCATGTAACTATCCAGTTTCTACAAATGATTGCTTGGATAATGCTAAGCCGTTAGAAGAATTTTGTCTTAGATATGCTGGATCAGTTTGAAGTCGTATTCTTATTTTCATTTCGGCTACCGCAGGGATGGGAAATTAAAATACAGATGAAAGGGTTGAAACTTGGCGGACGCCACATGTGGGCACACAAAGATATAGCTATTATGCATGTTCTTCCATGCGGGAAATTTTAATAGGATTATTAGGAAAACTACTGAGGTAACTGTTCTTTAACCTTTTTTTTTTTGGGGGGGGGGGGGGAGGGGAAATGAAACAATCTTGTTACAAGACTCTTCAACTTCCGTCCCATCCACCTAAAATTTCTCTTCATGATGTTAATACATCGTCAAGGAAATATGTGAAGAGAATATAGAAGAGCATCAACTGTAGCTAGGAGACATTGCCTGGATGTGACACCAAATTCTCACAACTAACTTTAAAGAAATGTAAGGCAACAAGTAATGAGAATTAATATTTCCAACATGGCTCTTACATATAAGTGAGTCACAGAGTCTGTCTAGTTCAGCTTTGCTCTCGCTCTCTGTTGGTTCGATCATTAGGGCAGTGGACACTGGCCAAGATACCGTGGGCGCATGGAAACCTGTAACATAAATTTGGCAACTTTTAAGTGTCGGTTAAGAGTCGAGAGTAATAGAGCGACTTTTCTGATGCGCTTCATAAAACCAAAACGAAAACCAAAGCAAACACATCTGGTCATTACGTTGACGCAAACATTCATGCATGCCAACTGGCACAGAAAAAGCGCGGGAAAAAGTCGAGAACCCACTTCACAACTTGTTTTCGTTTTCATCTGATTGGCTAAAAAAACAAGACGTGTGATCTCATTGGTGAACACAGGTTGCACGAGCATTTTCAAACAAAGACAAAGCTCACCAAACCCAGAACTAAAGCAACCAAACATAACACTCAATGGTCATTCGATAAGTGCTCCACGTCTTTCCTATTCGTTTAGCACTAATCTGCAAAAATTGTCTCTCAAAACTGGGCGCTCGGCAGAGTTTACAAGTCTTGGTATGCTTGGCTCAGGCACCAGTTACAAGTTCGGCCGCAATTGAAACAGGCTACAGCTTTTGAATGCTTAGCACCGGCTACACGTTTTCCCGCACTTAGCAACGCTATAACTTATTCTAAGCCCGTCACCAGTTAGATATTTTCTCGCATTTGGCAACAAGTTAAGACTAATTCATTCGCGAAGTTTGCACGGAAGGTTTTCTCTTACCATAATCCTGAAGTCTCTTGGCAATGTCAATCGCTTCAATACCATACTTCTTGAAATCTTTAGCGTCAACAATAAATTCGTGGGCACAATAACCTGGTGAAGAAAAAAAACTGCATGAAAACTTTGTAATGAAGGTTTTTGTACCTTGAGCTACGTCACGGCTTTCGCATCTTGGAAAGTTAAGCCTTAATTTTTAAGTTCGTTGTTTGTAATCCGTGTCAATCTTCTCCATCCTTAACCATCCTTGTTCCTTTATGGTTTATTACTATCTCTTTGGTGTTTTTCTATGTTAGTAAGCTACTATTTTCAGGTTTCCTTTAATTTAAAGGTAATTCTGTACGTGGCCAAAATAACTCAAAATACTTTGACTGAACGAACTCCTTTAATTTGAAACTTCCTTCGCTAAATTTTGCCTCCAAACAAAAAGCATTACAGTAGTCGACATTACCATCCTTTCCAATGAACAAAACGTCGTAGTGCTCCTGGAGTCTGGCAGCCATGTAGTTAGCATTCAAAACGGCAACCTGTAAAAGTCAACAAAAAAAGAAATAATGTTAACTAACAAATGACAAACAAACAAACAGGTGTAAACGATTTAAACCGAATTGACTACAAAGCTGACACTAATGCAAGAAGGCACAATAGTGTAAATAGCCTTGAAATCAAGATGGTTTAATAAAGAATGTAACAATGAACATTCAAAACTCACCTTGGTCGCATGTGCAAGACCCTTAGGGCCCATCAGTTTGATATAGGCCCAAGAAATGGGTAGAATTGCACTGGAACCATATGGAGCTCCTGAGATGACCCCAAATGGATGGGCCCCTTCACCAACGGTACTCTCTGGTGGGATCACAGGGTGGGATGGCAAGAATGGAATGAGGTGCTTTTTCCTGTGGGAGAATTTCACCAAAGTCAGATTGTGTGATTGAAACAGTCAAACCAAAAATATAATTTACTTGTAATCCTCTGAAAGAAAGGAAAAAAAAAATCCAACACAACGTTCTCAACCCTATTAGTAATTCATCATATTAAAAACAGGGAAATCATGACCATGATAGTCTTTGCCGGATATCTGATCTTAATTAGCATAGATTTTTTATGATTTTGTTTCTCTGTTTTCTCCTTAGTTTTAGTTTCCATTGAGAAAATGTATCACACACTCAATACTGTGTTTGACCATATTTGAATTTCCAAACAAATACTCCGCCATGTGTCGTATATTCAATTCTCTTCACGATGTTTGGAAATGTGGTCAAACACGGTCTTTCGTGCTTGATATATTACTAGAACGTATAACATAGTTCTGCCCATTAAACCTTTCGTTCCGTGACGATCTTGATATCGTCGCTTTAACGCCCCAATACCAGAGCCATTGTCTAATCCAAGGAATCTAAGGTCCGAAATCTTCAAGAGCAAAGACGTCTCAAGATTCCCCACCCCCCTCCCCCCCCAAAAAGCATGCTTTCAACTGTTACTTACACTCCAATAGGTCCCATTCCGGGGCCTCCACCCCCATGAGGAATACAGAAGGTTTTGTGCAGGTTAGTGTGCATCACATCCGCGCCATAGTCAGCTGGTCGGCATAGTCCCACCTATCAGGACAAAACGGTAAC